TAACGAACTGAAAGTACTGAGAGCTATTTTAAATATAATCAAAGTTATTCTTATTATTATATTGTATGTACATGATACTATTCAACATATTTTTTTTAAACACACAATATGTTAGCTAATTACATTTTTGTACTGTAAATTCAAAAATAATACTAGAATGCAACACACATGATAAATGTTGAATTATTAAACATGTAGAAATCTAGTTTTTCCTATATAAAGCAATTTATATTCGAGCACAACGTGTACATCGAATCGCATAAGCTATCTAATTGCGTTATTTTTATTTTCAAAATTACATTAATAATAGTGGATAGAGAGAAACTTTAAAAACTTAAAAGATAAGCTAAATAAGATCTACAAGTAAGTCAACATGGCCAAATTGTCAGACTCCTTATATGATTTATTGCCCTTAAGGTAGATCCGCCATCTTTGAGTGTAAAATAGCAGAACACAAGTCGTCTAGATCTTTAATAAAATATGCAAATTTTGAGAGAGGAATGCAATTCATTTGTAAGACTTTGCGTTACAATGAAGAAAATTATGATTTTTATCTTATTATTACGCCTGTTTTTAAAAAAAACAGAAAAAAATTTGTATGAATTAATTTTTTTCAACTTTGCCATATAAGCGGAGATAACTTAGAAAACCTTACTTTTATAAAGGAATGTGTTGTAAATTTAACTTACGTGCTTTGTAGCAAGAAAACGAGTCCAGTGACACCATTTTTTATTTTTATTATCTGAAGGCACATTTTAAGAGCTATCTTCACAAATTTTATCTTTAAAATCTTTAAATTCTATCTTTTAGTTTTCTTTCTTTCACACAAAATACATAAGCTACATTTTGGCAAATTATTAAAAAAAAAATATCTTAAATGACGATTGTTTTACTAATTTTGTATAATTTTGTCAATCATTTCGAAAACTTTAATATATAGCTATAAACTGTATACAGTAAAAATGATCATCAATACATGATCTACAAAAAATGCCACTAAGTAAGATTTACAAATAAGCAAACATAACTGAATGCAATAAAAGTAAAATAAATATCAAAAATGCATATTTTTACCAGGTGAGCGATTCATGCTCTTGGAAACCTCTTGCTATTATTCGTTTTTGTGCTTAGTACCGATCTGACTAGGTAAGCCCTTTCCAACTGATTAGTATACTGTGTTCTTATGTTATGCTGTTATACCACTGTCCCAGGTTAGAGGAGAGTTGAGCGCCCACAATACAAATAAAAAGAGATGTGGTGTATACGTCAATGAGACAGCAAACAAACGACAAAAATATTTAAAAAGACATCTAGAGGGCAACATTGTAGTCTTCAACAATAGACAGGTGTCTACACAGTATGGCAAACTCTAAATCGTCTCGAGTCTATAAAACTTTAGATGTGAAAAAAATTACCAGAAACTATCAAAGATCTGCCATTAAAACCTAATTTTCCAAATAACGAAATAAATGTTTAATAACTCATCAAAGATACCAGGCTTATAATTTGGTTCACCAGACGCGTGTTTTGTCTACATAAGACTCATCAGTGGCGCTCGAATCAAAACAGTTAGAAGACCAAATCGAAAACGAAGTTGAAGAGCATTAAAAACCGCAAATTCCGAAAGGTTGTGCCAAATACGGCTAAGGCAATCTATGCCTGGGGGTAGACTGTGCCTGTCTGAAGCCAGGAGCCTGTAATCCAATGGTTGTCGTTAGTTGCAGCTGTCTACTATAATTGGTGTTCGTTTTTAGCATGAATTGTTTCACATTTTCTCATCCGGGGCCTTTTATACCTTACTTTACGGTATTGGTTTTGCTAACTGTTGGAGGTCGTACTGTGACCTTTAGTTGTTCACATCCTTGTCCTTTGGTCTTTGGTGGATAGTTGTCTCATTGGAGATCATACCGCATCTATTTATTTTTAAATGCTTAAATAAATTTAAAAAAAAGATGTACATGACTACATTTGTAATGACAAGAACATTATGAGGGGTATATTTAATAGCAATCAGTTATAGGCTGTCATGAACATTATGCGGGATGTATTTAATAATTATCAGTAACTGTTCTTGGCTGTCATGAACACTATGCGGGATCTATTCAATAGCAATCAGTTCTAGGCTGGACTGTCATTATCATTTCTATTTATTAAAGTTATCATCTTATTTGTTTTTTTGTTTTTTTTTCAGGAAATTTAGGTGGACAAATGGGACTGTTTCTAGGAGCCAGTATACTGACTGTCACGGAACTGGGAGAATTCCTCATATTAGTAATAATGTCCATTTTGAGGAAAAAACAAAGACAGGAACAGTTCAAACCAATTAGAACAAAGGAATGTAAATGAAACTCGACCGGCTGTTTCGAACTAACAATATTTATAAAATTTTAATTATGTTTAATTTATTAATTGATATTCAAGTGGTATGTATCCATTTTCTTAACTACCACGTGTTGCTTCTTCACCTTAGTTTATCAGGATGTCATCTTGCCGGTATATGTAATCTTATGATCAAAATTAAAAGCAACTAATAACGCATCCTGTCCGGGCTATTATTTCAAAGTTATTGAATTCAGCAGCATTCAGGACATCATACATTTGACGTAAAGTAAAGGATTGTTCAATATTTTCTGAACATAACAGTGAGGAAAAACGTAATTTTCAATGGGAATTTGTTTTCCATTTCTAAATTAATTGAAACATAAAGTCGCACAGCCTCAAACGAAAACAGATTACACAACAGAATCAAAACGTACCTCTTGTCATTATTCATATGCGATTTAAACGAGAAAATATATTATTTGAATGTTTCATATATTGCCACTTTATTTGTAATAATCTGAATCTATTTGGTCTTTTGATTTAGGAAAATTATATTGTTAATGACACGATTTTCCCGAAACTATTTACATGAACACAAACCTATATGATATGTGCATGAATAGCATAATTTTACTCAATCACGAGAGATTAAAAGAAGATAAATGTAAACAAAATAAGTAACTAGCTGTAGTGAGGCCTAATACAAATTCGATGAAAAAATCATTCACATATAGCTCCTCAATACTTTGGAATTAACTACCAAATGAAATAAATCTATATGAAAATCTTTGTACTTTTAAAAGAAAATGTGTAGATTTTTTTAACTGTAAATGATATATAACAACTCTCTCATGTGTTTTTAATGTTTGTATATTGTGTATAATTTTGTTGTTCTACAGACAATGATTTATCGTGAAAGTTAAATTATTACTTCAAAAAATTGTAATCTTTGTAATACTTGTTCTGTATGTTTTTTTGTGAGGGCCTCAAGGTAGATTAGTGAATGCTAATTGAGTCACTCTCTTTAAATAAAGTCATTATTATTATTATTATTATTATTATTATTATTATTATTATTATTATTATTATTATTAAAGACAAGTTGCTTTCTTTAAAAAAAGAAAAGCAATGCGTGAACCCGATGTCGCTGACCAAAACATTGTTGCTGAACTATTTTGATTTTGATATTACATAATGTACTAATGATGTTATAGCACCTTTATTGAAAATATTTAATTGGAAACGTTGTTGGTTTAAAGTCATCAAACTGTGTAGATTCTAGCACAAGTCAATCAAAATCACTGTTGGGTTTTAGTTGTAAATTAAAAAATGTATACAGCTACCGTTGGCTTTACCTTTTAAGGGTTGACTATTTTATTTTATTTATTATTCGGAGTTTTCATCGTTTTTCCTTTGCCTAGTATACAAAGTCCTAATCCTATTGCAATTTCCAGTTTCTGCGTAGAAACATACATGCAAATTGAAAAGACCAATCGCAATATAACTGAATATTATCAATCAATCAATTTGCTGTATAATCTGGATGCATTTATTTTATCTTTCATACCTTCATATTTTGTTTCCTGGATGCCTTCAATATTTTGCCCCTTCAGTGTTGGTCTTATACTCATTATTGCAGATGTCTGTGATTAACATACCTAATTTATTTGTAAACGTAAGTCCCGTTAAATATGGGATATAAGGACAGTGTTAGTGTTACAGTCTGTACAAGTCACATTGGACACTTTAATGTGAATTTTCGAATTACCTATCTAAATTGAGGACAAGTAAGAGCTTGACATGTGACTTTGAAGCATGGTCACCATTAAGGTATATTAACCTCTAGTTGTTCCTTTTTTTTTTTTACTGTCCTATTGACTTTTACCCAACATATCCTTTTATATAAATTGTTCATTTGAGAGTATGTTCAGGTATTCATAAAACGTTTGAAACCAAGATATTCTTCAAAACCAATTTGTTCCTGTAGAGTATTTGGATTGATTTAAGTAACTTCAGGAAATCCTTAAATTTGAGATGTGTTATGATACCAAAAGAATTTTCAGTATATAAGAGGTCCTAATGAAGCTTGTGTGTTACTTACTCTCAAGAACAACAAACGAAACCTTCTTATAAGTTACATCCTACAGAGTAACAAGGAAGTTCAGTGGACTTTTAATTTATCTATACCACTTCTACCATGAGCAGTTAGTCATTATAGATAAGCCTTCCAAACCTTATGCATTTTATTCCTGAAGAGGTGTACAGTTTCCAACTTTTTAAGAAACTAGAACTATTGAAATAAGTTTCAAAGCATATCAATTTATCAAATCATGAAAATGAGAGCAATAAGATGTCATAGCAGAAACAACTTAAAATCCTTGTTTAAAGATACCGTGCAAATATTTTTTGTCTTCATTACAGTTTAGATTTTAGATACTAATTTATTTATGTACATGCCTGATGACATAATATAACATTATTAATGATATATTTAGCCTCAGTTAAAACTTAATATTTTAATGAATATTTCCTTAGTTTGTACTGTCAAATGACAGTAATGAAATCAAATGTTTTTGTCAGAAATATCGTTTTGTTTAATTATATGTTTGCTTTCCGATCTAAGGGTATGATAGAAATACACAATAACGTGGTAAAAGAATAACAATATTATAATTGATTAAAACTAGTGAATGTTATATTTATTGTTTTGTATTACGTGTGTATTCATAGTTGTATTTCCTATTTCGTAAACATTTCGTAAACATGATATTTCAAAATATTTCTAGTAGCTACAGATATGTCCTTAAATTTTTAATTTACTTAATATTTCTATAACATCAGCATTAAAATGATTCGTGTGTGGCATGGCTTTCTACAGTAAATTTATTGGCTAAACAAATATATTGTTATCGAACTCGGAGTCATGACATAACATTTTTCTTTAAGCTAAACTAAATCCCATCAAAAAATAAAAACCTTGCAAACTGAACAAAAATTATTACTGTAAAAGTAGTTTTCAAATAACTCAAAGCCTTATTAGCAACTCATTCCATGGTTTCTGTATGACTTCGAGGCATTTGGGGAGTCCCGTCGGATGGTAATAACGTCTGAAGTGCTGTCCAGAATCGTTTGAACCATTCCAAATAATTATGAGATGACCCCGGGTATATGTTAATCCAAACATTATGATTCGTGGTAAAACCAGGGATCTTTGATATCTTAATTGCAGCTTCAACAGTGGACTGTGTAAGTTTGTTTTCTTCACTCCCTAAAATAGACATTTTATTATTTTTGAGGCTGAAGCTTTTTATAAAATTTATATTTTTGTTTACATGTATGTCCTGAAAATTTAACTATTCCGTTGGCTATATCTTAATGCATACTAGTAGTCTTTTCTATTTGACGCATATAACTAGTTTTGTAAAGTGTAATGTTTCATGTGTTGTTTTTGAACATTTTTTACATTAATTCCATTTAATGTATTAGTCACCATATGTAAATTTAGATGTGGGAATAATAGTTTGCCAATTGAGACGGGAAGGTGGCACCATTTACAAAGAGCTGATAGATTGTGTCACCTTTGCGACTCAGCTGACATCGGTGACGAATACCATTATATCATGTATATTTTTTTTTAAAGATGAAAGAAACAAATACTTACCACAATATTGTAATCATAATGTAAATGGTATTAAATTCAATCAAGTACATTCAACACGAAATTGTGTTGAACTGGAGAAACTCTGTAGATTTATTAAATGTATTTACTTTGAAAGTCTATCCTCTTGGTTAAAAAACAACTGTATATATATATAAATATATGTCTTTTGTCCAATATTAACTATATATTATATATTAGTCATTTGTATTTCACACATGCTATATTCAATATATATTTGTTATCATTGTCTTATTATCTTCTCTGTAACTATGTATATGGTTTATGAGAATAAAGATCATTGATTTCATTCATTTATTGTTGACCGTATGGTGAAATATAGGTGCTAACATCTACGTCATTCGGTCTCTGGTTGATAGTTGTTTCACTTGCAATCATACCACATCTCTTTATTTTATATTGTGTATTTAAGTATAAATTTATTTTAAGTTTAGTTCATATGTTAGGATTCCCAAATGTTATTATGTAGCTTCTTATATATTTAATTAACTTGAATGTTCATACCTTTGTTTGGGGCATCTGGGTGATAGTTAATCAAGAAGTATATGTATCCATCAAACGTGGCCTTTAATGTTTGTTAATGCTTTAAATTTGATAGAAAAAAAAATTTTCTGGTAGTTTCAGTTACCTGCATCTAATAATATCTTCTGTGGGAATCTGCTTTGTTGAAGAGATTGGTTTCTGAGTGTGTGATTTATGAAATGAAAATCGCCATCTGTTAAAGTTGTATTATTTAGCGGCCACCATAATGACGGGCTTTGGCAAGCGGCTAATCCAAAAATTGATGATCGTGTCCATGCAGCATAACATGACATTAAGCCACCAAGAGAATACCCCATCACTCCTGTATTGGGTTGATCTATCAAGATACGGTCATTCGTAAGTTCTCGTACTTTAGGGCGAACCCTGTTTATGAGGAAGTTAAGTAAACGGTCACCAGATCCTTCGATGTTTTCACGTTTTCCGCATTTTTCTTTCATCAGCCTGTACATTAATAAGAACATTATTACATTAACACTTCAATCGGATGAATCAAATACATCATATGACAAAAAGTTTGCAATAGAAAATAAAATTTAGGAATATTATACAAATACGACTGAATCTGCAAAAATTAGATCACGGACGAAATGGGCTGAAGACGGTGAAAAGTCGACTAAATACTTTTCAATTCGGAAAAGAAAAATTATTGCAACGTGTAAAACAGAAAACGGTGAGTATAAATGTGACATTGATTCCATCTTGAATGAACAAGTAAAATGTTATACTAAACTTTTTGCCACGGAACTCTGGGACAAAACATCGGGGAGGGGGGGACATAATAAATAAGGTAAGCATAGAAGACAAAGAAATGTTAGATAGAGATAGATATAAATATTTGCAAAGTAGAAAAAGTACTTAAATTACTTAAACAGAAGACAGAACAAATCATCTGGCGAAGATGGTATAATTTCATAATTTTATGTTTTATACTGGGACGTAATAAAAGACGATTTCTTTACTTTACTACAAGAAATCTTTAATGATACTTTATTGAGTAATTCTCAACATAAGGGGGTCTTAACCTTATTACATAAAGGAAGAGAAAGGGAAAATATAAAAAATCGGAGACCACTTTCTTTGCTAAATTGTGGTTATATAATTATTGCAAAGATTTTATCTGAAAGGCTAAAAATAGTATTACCCAAATTATTCATACAGATCAGAAAGGGTTTGTTAAAAGAAGAAATATAAGCGAGGCTAACCGAATGATTCAGGACATTATAGAATATATTGACAATGAAGATGAAGAAGGAATTATTTTATCTCTGGATCAACAAAAAGCATTTGATAGGGTTGCATGGGAATGGATTGATTTTGTACTGGAGAATTTTGAATTTAGGGGGAAATATAGAGCGAGGATCAAAATGCTATTATTTTATGCTTCGTGTATTTAAACCAATGGATTTGTATCAAGATACTTTTCGATTACTCGCTCAGCTAGGCAAGGATGTCCAATAGCGCCTCTTTTGTATAAAGGCAACAGTAGTATACCGCTGTTCAATAGTCATAAATCGATTAAGCGAAAACAAATCTGGGTTACAAACTAAAACCGAGGGAAACACATCAACTATAAGAGGAAAACAACGGAACAACAGAAATAATGAACAGCAGCAAAAACAAACGCCAACATACATAGAAACGGACTATTAGATAACAACTGCCATATTCCTGACTTGGTACAGGACATTTTAAGAAATAAATGGTGGGTTGAACCTGGTTTTATGGCTAGCCAAACCTCCCGCTTATATGGCAATGTTAAAAATACCGCTAAAATGACAACACTACGTGACAGGAATACAGTACAAACAAACGCAAGAACACTCAGAACAGAGAAATACATAATATAATAGTACATTACAACATGTAAACCGCAGAATAACAACGGACACCTATATCATACAGGCTGAACCCATAGCATGTGCGATTAGGCGTAATATTGAAATAGAGGTTTAAAATTACCAGGAGAAGGGGGAGTTTATAGAAACTAAATTATGTATACTTGCAGTTGACACCCAGGTATTTGATAAGAACGAACAATCTATAGAAAATTCATTCGAGATTTTGTCTTTATATGAAAAAGCTTCGGGCTCTAGAATAAATCATGACAAAACAAAAGGCTTACTTTTAGGGGCTTCTGAAAGAAACAGACCTAAATTTGATAAAATCAAATGGATCACAAGTAATGTTAAAACATTAGGTGTGTACCATGGTTATGAAATAGATGACGATGATATATGGAGAAAAATAATTGATAAAGTTAAAAATTGTGTACACGTATGGAAAAGTAGGAAGCTTTCATTTACAGGTAAAACACTTATAGTTAAAAATATGATACTTTCTCTCTGTTCTTACGAGATTGAAATACGAGGAATTCCGGATAAATATACTAAAGAGCAAAATAATATAATTTTAAATTTTAAATGGGACGGAAAAGTTAATCAGGTAAACAGAAATTTCTGCTGCTTGCATGAAATAAAAGAAGGGATGGGCATAGATATGTTCATTAAAAGTAAACAAATAAAGCTTTTATATCGCTGGAACCATTGGAAAGCTGGAATGCGATTGATAAATATTGGCTACGAAAATTTGATGAAAAATATAATGATACCTTTTTTGTATGTAAATGTTCAAATTTGAATGGTTTAGATATGAACCCATTACCACATTTTTATCAGAAAATTATAAATACATGATCCGGTCGTCTCATACAAAATATTGATACACCATTCAATAAAAGAGATGTTTTAAAAACGAAAATATTTGGGAACTCTCCTATTTTGTTCAAAAATAAACGATTGTTATACCCTTCATTTTTAAAAAGCAATATCAAAACTATCAAGGACATTTGGAATTCAGAAGTTAATGATTTTATTAGCTGCAATGAAATTTATAGGAAGCTTATTGATCAGAGAAATTGTACTTCCGAATTTTTTAGAATTAAACAGGCAATTCCTAAAGATTTCGTGCAAATTTTGAAATCTTGCGGAAACCAGAATTTGCATAATGAAAAGAAATTAAAGTTATCAAATGACCTTGAAATTATGAACTTAAAACCACCAAATTATTAAATTATCAAAGTTAAAACTTAAATATATTCGTACGTTATTAAATAAAGACGTATCTCCAAAATGTCAAATTAAATGGGATGAAATATTTGGAAACAATTTACATTGGGAAAATTTGTGGTCGGGATTAATACAAATGAGCATTGAAAGTAAAAGAATTTCAATGGAGATCCATGCACAATATTTTATATACAGCAGGTAGACTGCACAAATGAAACTATCAAATGGAAAATGCTATATTTGTCAAAATGACAACAACATAGAAACTCTGCAACACTTATTTTTAGTAGTAGTACATCAAAGTTAATTTTAAACAAGCTTCAAGAGCTACTTATCCAATCAAACATAGGAATAAATAATCCTATTGTTGAAAAGGACATGCTGTTAGGAATAAACACAGGAATATTCAAATATGAAAATTTTCTATACACAATTATTATATATTCTAAATGGACTCTATGGAAAATTAGGAATTCAATAAAATACAACAAAACGCCTATGGCACCACAAGCTATTTATAATATCTGGAAATATAACCTGAAAATTAATCTAAAATTTGTTCTTCAATTAAAAGGCATTGATGTCATCGATAAGACAAAATTGAAGTCAGTGATAATGAAAATATAGACAAAAAATATAACTTTAACTTTAAATGAAGTTTTAAGTATCAGAGCATTATTATCTACTTACATTGTTGAAGTTCATGTATAGAGTTAGATGCTTCTAACATCATGTGGTTATATTTTTGAAAATAATTGTCAATCCAAGGTAAAAAGTGGACTACATTTTAGACCTTCTACTACCCCTGGATAGATGGCTCATTTTTGCAAACAGGCACCCTTAGCCTGTTACCTGGACGACTTAGGTAATTGTATACATGAAATATTTAGGAATAAAACGTTTATATGTGTAAAAAAAAAAAAAAAAAAAATTAAAATGTCAATTGTTCGTGAACAATTGATAGGTCTTTCCTTTTCATAATGTAAAATATATGTTTAAATAGACATAGAACGCATTGAAAAGCTTTAAAACACACATAACACCCTTAGAATAGTGTCAAAAACACAAAATTCGCTATCTAAGACATGACTTTGACCTTTGACCCTATGACCTTTTTCAAGGTCATTGGTCCCCAATGCCATTGCAAAAGACCCTATGGGTCTAGGACCTTTGGTTTCAGAGTTAAAGCTAATTTTGTCTTTTCAGAAACCGTTAATGGGGGTTATGCCCCTACGGAAAGGTCAAATCTATTCGGTCAAATGTAACAAAGTTGCGCCTTAATGACCTAAACATTTTTCACTATTGAAGACTTCTGTAAGTATAATGGTTTCTGAGATATCCCGTAATAAGGTGTAAGGTCAAAGTTCAAGGTCAACGTTAACATTTGACCTTGAGGCATTTTCAAGGTCACATGAATTGATGATCATTGGTGAATATCCTAGGTGTCTACGACTGACGGTTTTTGAGTTTTAGTGGCCAACCGACATCGGTTAAGTTTGGAAAAGGAAAGACCTTAAAAAGAACATTATTACAGATAACCTTTACCCAGGAATACTTTTACTATATTTGGTAATCAAATCGAACCAGCATGTAATATTCTTAAGCCGATTGTTATGTCGAACATAGTACTCCAATATGACAAATTTTCTTTTTTAAAGATTTGAAAGTGTTCACAATTTACATTAAAATAACATAATAGTAGCCTTTAAATACAATGAATTTTAATCGAAGTCAATAAACGGAGAACGATTACATTGTTTGATAATGTATATATGCTAACATTGCTAAGCGCATTTTAAATCTAATTTATGATGTGCTTACTTATTTCTAAATGCTATTTAGTGGTCAACTGCTTTGTAGTGCTGGTTTTCTTAGTGTGCGTTTAACTTTACCTCGTTTGGTTATCAATATGTGTGCAGAAGTTAAGGTACCAGAAAAATCGTTGAATCTTACCAGATTATGTGCCTATATCAAGTCAGGCGACTGATCGTATTTCCTTGGATTACCTATTTTTCATTGAACAAGACACTATGGAATAAATACCTTCGATGTTCATCATCAGTCAAATTACTTGGCAAACAGTTGTCACATGAATTGGTAAAGTTTCCGTTTATACATGTCATGACGGTTCCTGGAGTAGGTGTTAGTAAATCAACGCGTTCATGTTCTGGTTGATAATCTCCGTACCCAATGATAATAAACTCTTTAGTTGTTCCAGATTCAGCTAATATTTTATCAACAAAAGAGGTAAGTAACTCAGAATAACTACCGGGATATAAATCAAACACAAGCAAATTAGGATACTTCTTAAAGGTGTTTTCGTTAAAACTTGGTGGCAAATACAGATAAATTTGGCGTTCCTTCCCGATTTCTGAAGAATTAATAGTGAAATTGGATGTTCGTCCCGCTTTTGAGTAGAACCACGGAAATACCTCAAACAAAGGCTTTTCGTCGAAATATGAAGAAGACATTGATACGGGTAAATCAACTATGAAATTGCCACCAATCATATTAGTTCTGTCTGCAATCAAAATTCGATATTCAAGTTTCTTTGTTATGGTTATATCATTTGAACAGTCTTTGCATCGGAAGCCGTCATCTGATGATGTGAATTTTAAGTTTATTTCCCATGTATCAGTCAAAGTTTTTCTCATTTTCTTTCCTGTCGTCCAGTTTAAACATAAGCCACTTCCTCTTATGTATAAAACTTTGTTTTCAATTTCCTGAATTAAAAAATGTATATGAATACATTTTATAGATAAGGTTCATCAAATATATCTTTGAAATTTCATATCTTTATACTTACATTGTAAGATGTGCGAAAGAGTAAAATCAAAGCATCAAACCATAGCCTATAATTTAACAGCAAAATTATGAGAAGATATCTGTTTTGAAAATGGACAAATCATCACTGCAGTTCATATTGTTGTAACTGTATCACAATCGTCACTTATTACAGTTCTCGTGAGCTACAGCTAATTTGGATAGTATGTTGCAAAATGAGAATTTATAAACAGTTTTTTGCAAACGTGCGATTCTGTAAGCATGGTAAGGAATACTAAACTTTGTGCGAAGAACCAATTAAGTATTAAAAGTGTTTCCATAACTGGGACGTTCAAAACGCGGTTTTTATAACAATAAACAGAGATTAAAAACAAGGGATTTTTTACCCGAAAATATACTATCTAACTGCCTCTTTATCTCATATGTGAGAATGATAAATACAAAACCTACTAGAATGTACTATTCAAGGGCATTTGTATTCGATGTTTCTAAATATGGTATTTATAATTTAGTACAAGAATGATGTAAATCAAATGAAAAGCCTTAAGCGACCAATAGATCCGTGATAGAAAAAATGGAATATATAAATAATTAAAATTTTCATTTGATAAACAAGTTGTTTTCTCATTGACGCATGCCCCATGTCTCCTTTTACTCATATTTAGCCTTTAAATGAAGCTTTTGAACTTACAATGGCAGACTTTCAAGCAGAAATGAAAAAGTCAAAGCCTGCACAATAAATGCTTTGAAATACTGATAGAAGCATTTTGAACTACGAAGAAACAAGCCGATTTATTTGTTCTATAAAGTAAACATAACCAAGCGTTTTGGGCTTTTACACGATAACAGTACCGCTTGTACGCCTGAATATTGTTTGGCATTGAGTAAAATCTCAAGACGAAATTATAATTACGCAGACACATTACATGCAATACAGGGTTATATCATTTTACAAAACATTGTTTTCAGTTTCTTCTGACTCCTTCTCCTGATTTTTCTGTTTCATTCTATCAAAACCACATGTTCACATAATCGTGTTTTTAATCTGTTTTCAGGCATTCCTCAGGTACATGCAAAATATCGAAAAGTAGAACTATTCTCCTGCCATAGGAATAATTAATATTCGTGGCAATCAATATAAATGGCTTTATCGGGGGATACTAAAAAAGAGGCGGAAGATACCAAGAGGACATTCAAAACTCATAAGTATTTTGAGAGAAACTGACAACGCCTTGGGAAAAAAGTATGAGCAAAAATACCGAACTCCAAGGTATATTCAAAAACGGGGAAGTCCATAAAACCTGACAAAATCAAACGTTAGACTATATCAACCAATGGAACGAATGGAAAACAACTGTCATATTCCTAACTATACAGGCATTTTCCGAAGAAAATTGTGAGTTAAACCTGGTTTTATAGCTAGCTAAACCTCCCACTTGTATGACAGTTGTTTACAGTTCCGTTATATTGACAAAATTGGGAAACAAACGAAAGACAACGAAAAGACAAACAAATTCACAAAACACTACATAATTTAAAGTCTTACAAAAGAGGTAATATGTTTGGTTAATTTTTTTTTGCCACATGAATCTAAAAGTTACATCGTACAATGAACATGTATACCTATCAACTAAATTTATTGATAACATATCTTCATGTTGTTTTAAGATATGTGTTTCTGCCTCAAAGTTCTTGCATTGAAGGAAACAAATATAAAAGAAATCATCAGGTTTTTTTTTTTATCCCCCATGGATATTTAAATATGAGAAACAGTCGTACTCAAACGTGTATTTTGCAACATTTTGTCACGAAAATAGTAATGTAAGTCAAATATCTTTCCAAGTAGGCCTAGATCTGTTGCTCATATTAAATTTTTCAAAAATCTATATGCAAAATTTATATATATATCCATTTATTACATCGGTGATCCGTTTATTTGGCAATCGCCAATGGCAGTCAGCAGGGTTTAAGAACATTTGTTGTTCGACCTGTTAGTCAAATGCGTTTTGTTAAAATATACTTTTTCACTTTTTTGGTCTTTTGGAAAATGTTGTTTGTGCTGTATTTAGACCCCTCTAGCAAGAAATTTGTTTTGCATGCACACGTATAAAAATTGCGGTTTTTATCCAACGCAATCATAGGTTTGAACGTTGTTTTCAATTTAGACTTGTATATATATATATATATATATAAATAAGTCTAAATTGAAAACAACCGCAATTTTTATACGGGTGCATGCAAAACAAATTTCTTGTTAGAGGGGTCTAAATACAGCACAAACAACATTTTCCATAAGACCAAAATAGGAAAAATATATATCTATATATATAAAGTTTTAGTTTTTAAAGGTTTGATTTTCGTTGGTAAACGTGTTTTTTTTTCTGTGTCTATCCATCTGCATCGTTGCTTTTAAGTTTTGTCGTCCCTGTTATGTCTTCTGGGTGAAGGTATCGATTCCCCTTCTTACATAGTTGGTTTGGTATGTGACTGAACCATAAAAGCTGATTAATTTCAATTTTAAGAATCAGTGCTCCACCTGAAATAAACAACGCCTTTCCTTTAGCTGGAAAAAAATATGAATTTTAAAATTAATTGTAGTGATATCACTATTATCGTTTCTATACCTTCATATTTATCTCTGGGTATTTAGCCACTATCCGAATCTCTAGGTCAGATCTTGGCGCAGATTGGACTTCTGTTAAGCATTGTCCTCCCATACAATACCCATGCTTGCCTTCTTGTGTTACACAAGAAAGAGTCCCCATGCACACACTGCCGACATTCCAGATCGAAAATGAAACTAAACAACATATCTGTAAAACCTGAAAGTGATGATTTATTAATTCGACAGTTAATTAAAAAAATATTTTATACTGTGAAAATATACATCTTTTATGTAACATGCCCGCACCAAATATAAACACACATATTTTTGAATATTTTTCATTTTTCGTGCGTATTTTTAATGTATTTTAGGGTTTTTTTACATATATTTTATTGCTTTAATTGTAATAGCTCTACATGTACCATGTTTAAAAAAATGGAACAAACACGAAATGATACTATAGTTAGTAGTAAGACTAGTATTAGTTTCCCTGTTCGCAACGTTTTGTATTTATAATATATGGTTAGTCTTCAGCATCATTCATTTTTCACCTCTTGCATATATTTCTTACCATTTATATCACTGCTGTGCAAAATGTATACCCATGCTAATATTATCCTGTCAAATATGTGTTGTGGAGAGGTGGCTACGGTCTACGAAAAAGGGGAGATACCATGGGGCGATAACAGAACTAAAAGTGGCAGAAAGACAGACAATACTACGACCACAAGTAAACAAGACGAGCAGGTAACCACCAGTCCCCAAATCAACGGTAAATTGTAAGTTTTTACAATTTAAATGGCAAAGGGTATTATACCTCTTCAATGATAAAGGACACCGTGCAATCTTATACATGTAACTGAGTTATTTCACTTGACTTTTACAAGCTGAAAGTATCAGTTGTTCATATTAACTTAAAGATAAACAAAATTTGCAAGCGGAAAAAAAAATATCGTAACAGATGGATAGTACGTTGCAGTGTTTCCTGACCAACCATTTTATTACGTACAGATACTCTGTACATGCATCTAGTTCAGCATCCGCCAAAGTAGTTATTTATGAATTAGTATCCTTCAAATGAAGAACAATAACAAATTTTCGTGTACTGTCCTTAACCGCTAACCTTTTCAGCCTGGAAAAAAACCGCTATAAGATATTTATTAACGGTTAACCAAATCACGATGGCGTTCGTAAAATTTCGAAAAGTGGGCTTTAACTTTATTATAAAACACTTGGTGCAATGGCCTCCTTGTAAGTAGTAACACTATATCAAGGAGATAATGATAAGAAACGCAAGCTCTGGAATATCGTTATGACTGGGAGATATATACTCTATATGCAGATGTTGCTGCTGGATTGTTACAACATAGATATTAAAAGTTCCAAGTATGTAAGACCAATGTCTTAATGCTATGTTTTTTTTTAAATTTCCTTACCTTAATAAGAGAGAAATGCTTATTGAAATAATACAGACACTACTGATAGGATAAAATGTTCATTACATTCGCTAAATGTCCCAATGAATAACAGCGTTTCCATCAAAAATCCCGTAACAAATATCATACAAGTTTTCATTACAGCTATTTGTATGTCATTCAGACATTCGAAAAAGAAGAATGTCGTTCGAAATCCGAAATTTAAATTTGAGATTCAATATATGAAGTTAAGGTGGTACCCAACACCTTCACTAAAATTAATTTGGCTCGTTTAATTTTCATAAAATTTTGACAAAGTATTTACTTTGATCCTTTGACAAAAATATAAAAATTTCAAAACATTTGAACCAACCAATTTATCAGAAAAATTAGACTGGTTATATAGCAGTTTGACAAACACTAACTTTGATCATTGAGAAGCTTAATATTCCCTTAACAACACAACGTAATTAAAACGTTTAGCTGGTTTTACTCCCTTTTACTTGAGTTATCTCCCTGTAGTGTTAGGTACCACCTTAAGGGATTGTATAATACTTAATCAGAAGAAAAGTGTTTTGCTATAAACCACATGTTATACACGACACTTCCTTATACTTAAATCGTGAAATATCCGCTGCGGTCGGCCTTTCTCCGTTGACGATCCGTCGCCTGAAAATTTTCTAAGGTTACTGGCTTCTAACTGATACGCTTTATGAATAACAAGTTTTCGACTACTGTCATGACGACCATTTCTTTCTTTTAACATGCAATTAAGCAGTTTTTGAAAAAGGAATGCAAATATTATTTTTTATCTTATTGTACAACGGAAATGTTTGGTATGAAAAAAGGGAGATGGAAGAAAAAATCTTAAGAGTAAAACTCCTTGCAAATCATGAACGGTCAAACATGTTAAACGTTAATAGAGCTTAAGTAGAAAAAAGGAGCCAACGTAAACATATTAAAATGGTGGCATATATAAATGAATGTTTTACAAAAAAAAATAAAGGTCACCCACTTATTGACATCAGTCTAATGCAATTTAGATTATCAAGAATTGTGGCCAAACCATTTGCGCATGTGCCAATTTTGCAATTAGTTACCGGAACTTATTACAAGAGAAAGTTACTGGAAAGCCGGTTTTATACTTCAATAAAACTGATTTTGCTAAATTTGACTGTTTGGACGTTCATATCACCGTTTATTTCCATTCTTTATCTTTCATTTGGTACTATTCACATTAAGATATGTTTCGGTTTAGATACTTCCATTTTTGTTCAAAATTCTGTCTTTATTCCTCATAGTGTTCCTTTAGATGAATTGAAATATTGCATGATCTGCCGTTTTTTATGTAAAATAACTTCTTTGTCATAAAGTATTAAAAATGGACGTTCATATCCTTGTGTTCTCTAGAATATGTGGTTTTAATTTATATCATTTATGAATCATATAAGTAATATTTGAATATTTCTATTTTTGTTCAAATATGCACAGGTACACAAGAAACTGTTGTACCTACATGTACTGGGGGTTTGAAGTGGGATTTTCAATTTATTTGTATTTATTTCTTTTAAATAAAAGGAAATTTAAAAATTCGAGGTTGCTATCAATGTAATTTTATCATTGATGTGAATTTTAAAAGGCTAAAAATAAATTACTAAAATGGAATTAAATGAAAATTCAGAACATGAACAAGTACATTGTGTAAATGTTATTAATTGAACAAGTTTTTGTTTATAAATTAAAATGAAATGATTATAATAATAATAATTAAAATAAAAAAATAAAATAGAAAACGATTTTGCATAACTCATAATTACCTTTGAAAGCATTATCCCTCTGTGCACATAACTTCTCAAGTATACTGTTCACTGCGTTTAAGCTTGTTAGTGTACAACGTATTTTGTTTGTTCAAGACGTGGATTTTTCCATTAGAAGTATAATGTTTGTTGAATGGAATTTCCGATGTGGTTTATGGTCAATTTATGTCATAGAGTTTTATGAGATTTTGCCTACAACTTCAGCATGTTAAACTTGAACTTAAAGTCGGAAAAAAACAAAGCATTAATTTTATCTCTTTTATTTTTTTCTGATTGAAAATCTACTTTTATAATAGGTGTAAATTCGTAAAGAATTCACGTAAAATCGTTGATAAAAGTTCTTGAAATCATCAAATCGATTAAACCAATCCACAAATTTTTCTTAAGAATCGATAAGTCGTTGCTACTTTAATTTAAGTTTGATTGATAGAAAATAAGAAGAGGGTCACTGACTTGTTTTTGATGTATTAACCTATTTATTACAGAATCAGCAGCGTAGAACGTCCAAAGACTAAACTGATGGGATTACCAGCTCATCCCTCCGTCCCCAATAAAATTCAAACAACAACAAAAACAAAATAAACGAAGTGGGCAAGCCTATGATTATTTGACATTTTATTTGGCATCAACATATCGATTAAAAAAAATATATAAGAAATGAGTTGTTAAAGACGATTTTAAGAAAGTTTTCCGAAGATTTTATGTGCATTCTAAATAACTGTTTACCTTTTTAAAAAAAACAGATAACCCCACGGCCAAAGGCAAACGACAGTCCACAAAAAACTACTAAGAAAACTGAAGATTAAGTGAATCCCAACACCAAAAAAAACCGGGGATGAACACGGATGCTCCGGAAGGGTCACCAGCTCCAGCTCCACTAGTGACTATCACAGTGTTACTCTTGTTAAAATACATTGATGAGTCATATAAAGTGACAATTTATCTTACAGTGCGGATTGATAAATGTCTCTTGTTAACCCTTAGACATTACAAAATTCAGAAACTATCGGTACATGACCGAATGTAAAAACAGGATTTTAAAGGAAAAAGGACAAACAAGATTTAACCGGTAGAGACAAAACAGACATTAAAAAACGAAATAGCACAAAATACAACACTGAACACAAAAGCAAAGGCTGAACGTATCCCTTTAAACTAAACTAAGGGTTAACCAGTTGCTCCGGAAGGGTAGGCAGTTCCTGTTCCACTAGTGGCACCCACTGACTCATTACAACTAAACATTCACTGATGTCACAATCGAGGAAAAGGGGACGGGTTGTGGCTACAAAAAGTGCAACATATCTGAGTGGAACATCTTTGAGGAGGTTTTATGCAAAATCCTACAAAAATCTATGACATAGCACATTAACTGTTTCTTAACCCTAACTAACGTTCATGCATCATTAATAAAATAGTATTGCATCATGGAACAGACATTGTAACAGTTGTAAATATTCGCAACTAGACTAAACCTCATTTATACCTCTAAATGGTATACACAAAATGTGTGAGCTTGCGACGGTTTTTAGATTTTCTTTGATATGTCTCCCGATTAAAGTATGGCCACTTTGCCAATATAGAGCATCGAGCAAAGACAAGTTGTTAATTTGAGAGAACGCTGTAACTTTCTCAATCGTTCTTTGGACACATTACACATATGCAATGCACAAAGATTGATGTTCATAATAGCAGACTAGCTGCCTAGAACTATATATAGTTGTAAACATTCATGTTATGGCGTTATTCAGAAGAAAATCCATATGATCACATGATTCCCACGGCAGTTGGAGATTTTACTGATGCACAACTAATTGCTTTGCATCAAGATCAAGATGCGAAGCTATTAGTTTCATACGATATACACGCCATCTTGCAATTATTACGTAACAAAAGTTAGTTCTGATTGATTTCCAGATGACGTTGCTAAAATTCTATTGGCTTAAATGGATTATTGAATTGAAAATGCCTGACGGGGCGTAGAAGAAATTATACACGGAGGTATTCGAGACCCGATCGACGAATTATATTGCTATAGAATCGCAGTTGAGACACATTGTTGGATAAGCGCAAAGGGGGGAGGGGGGTTCTCTTCTTATATAAAGGTATACGCAGACGAGCCACTGGTATGGGTAACGTTTTTAAAAATGTCAAATATATCAATGGGGTGCAATTTCACGGAGATAATATAACAATGGGTAGAAATATATATGTCAATGGGTAATAAGTATTCATCTTCTGTTAAGTTGTCTGTAAAAACTATGTACTTATCTTTTATCTAATTATAATCATAATTTATGAATGATTCATGTCGTTAACATCTAATTAAGATGTCAGTTGTATTTCTGATAGCTTGGAAATATATAAACTGGTGATGATTTTCTTATGAAATATATGAATGGGTAGGGATTTTCGAATAAATCGATATATGATTTGGGGTAGTTTTTAAATCCCAGCCGGACGTGTGTACCCAATTTCCCCCCCTCAAAAATTTCACCAAACACAACAACTGACGTAATTTTGATACTGCTATGCACTCCGTACCTTTTTAGAAAGGTTAAACTTACTTTTGACCATGACTTTCATTGTACGCGACATACCTTCTAGAAGTGATAAATTATCATGCCATGTTTCATAACCCAATTCAAGGAGCTCTAAAGATAGAGAGCGGAAACGATGTTTGTACATATGTACAGGAGTGACTAAGTTGGACTAACTTTCACGGTACGTTCTATACACTCAATACACCTTTTAGTAATGCTGAATAATCATGCAAAGTTTCATTACCAAACTCCTAGGGGTTTTTAAATTAGATAGCAGAAACAATGTGTAATAATGGACGTTCGAACGCACGCACACACACACGAACGGACGGACGGATGAACAAAAAAAGAGGCAGAAGATACCAAGGGGACATTCAAAACTCATAAGTCGAAGAAAAAGTGACAACGCTATGGCAAAAAAACGAAATACGACAAAAAGTCCACAAAACACTACATAGACACAAACTAAATACTGAGCAACACAAACCCCACCAAAACCCGAGGTGAATTCAGGGGCTCCGGAAGGGTAAGCAGTTCCTGTTCAACATATGGCACCCGTCGTGATGCTCATGCAAAAATAAGTCCGGTGATAAGTCTCATTCGGTGATGTCAAAATTGAGGAAAAGAGGACGGGATTGTGGTTACGACAATTGGAACATATCCGTGGTCATCTGTGACACAAATAGTCCATAACGGTCAACCCACTCGTAATAAAACTTTCGAAGGGGAACAAGTTGCTTGGTATAGGCCTTTTGCTGAATAATCGGAGAGGTTCTACTAAAAAAGATACTTCATAGCCTGATAAACTTGATTTTACATTTGGAATTTGAATACCACTTTTTATTCTTCAGAGAGGTTTAACTTGCTATAAAACGAGGTTTAATCCACCATTTTCTACATAAGGAAATGCCTGTACCAAGTCAGGAATATGACAGTTGTTTTCCATTCGTTTGATGTGTTTGAACTTTTGATTTTGATTTCGCCATTTGATAAGGGACTTTCCGTTTTGAATTGTCCTTGGAGTTCGGTATTTTTGTTATTTTACTTTTCACCCAAACTTTGACAAATTTAAAATTCAAATCGACAAAAATATCAAAATTGCGATATCAACAAAAAAAAGGACAAGGATGTAAACAACTTATTATAAAAAATGTAGTAAATGTATCAAATATGCAAAAGTTTTCATGAGCATTCTATGCAAAAGTAACAACATAAAATGGTACCACTTTTACTGCACCACATTCTTATTCGACAATTAATGTTTCTTCAGTGATCGAAGCCAAAGTATTTAGCAATCCGAACCCCAATACAAACATTGAAAAACCGAAAGTTAAGTCAAAATCGGAGAAGCAATCCAAGTGTTATACATGAGGCAGAAATATTTAATACTAATTTACAAATGATTTCCTAAAAATTTTTTTTGTGATGTGTTTATTGGCAAAAATACATGTATCAATATTATGTGTTAAGATTACGGTAACTAGTCATTAGTAACATTTCCTAAAATTTATAACAGCAAATTTCAATAAAACAATACCCGTATGTTCATGCAAGTACCGAAGTACGGAGCTGCTAGAAAAGCTTTAAGATAAACTTTTTTGGTATTAACCCTTTCATCTGTAGAGTACGTTTGAACACGTTATTTGTACCATTTTGTAATTTTTTTTAACAATCTTTTATTGTTTATAATTACGTATCTATATAGTTTTCCAATTATAAAAGAGAGTTTATATAAATAGGTACGTTACATCATCAAATAACACTCGTATACTCCTAGGTTAACTTGGTAAGTCAGTTCTTCAATCGAGTTTCTTTCACATCGCTTACATTACCCCAAGTTAAAATTGGTTATTTTCACACCCACACACAGTCTGATTTTTTTAAACCAAAATTCAGTAAGAAAACCATAGAAAAAGACAAAGCACAATTACAAATTTCAAGTACACATCTGCTTATAGCGTTTGGTTGTGAAGCTGCAGTTACATTTATCATCAAAAGTATGGATCTAAGCTGACATTTTTTAGGATGTCTGTAACTGTACCTGTTATAGTTTACTCACTGTGAAAGGTTGCTCTGCTCCATAAATATGCTTATATTCTAACATCTTTGTTCACATATGCCCAAAATTATTAATTTCAATTATCAAGTATTCAGTTTGGAAACAACTATTATTTTTGTCTTATAAATTTAAAGATACATATAAGGTATAAATGGGTTAAGTTTTCTAAATATATAAGGAAAACAAAGACTGGACAAAACCCAATTGGCTGAAAATGTTCATATTCCGAATGTGACGTCTTATCGAATATCATTGGGTATTAACATATACATATACATATACATATGCACCCAACTTACAAACACTAAGCATATTGAAAAAAAGATTACACAACATGGATTTGTTATTTAAGTTGCATCTGTTTTCTTTTCAGTCAGTAAACTTGAACAACTCCCTTCATGCTTGATGGTCCACCTTTCTCCGTGTATAAAGCAGACATACACAGTAATCGATGATGGATCCTTGTACACATCACATATGATCT